AATGTCCTTTGACCAGTATCTGGCCACTTGGAGTGCCTCTGGTGTTGCTGCAAGAAGGTGCTCCCTTGTGCATGTGGCAGGGCTCAGGTTGCATTGCAGCAGGTGGTCAGTGGTTTGCTCTTCTCCACACTCGCATGTCGAGGATTCCACTTTGTAGCCCCATTTCTGAAGGTTGGCTCTGCATCTCGTGGTGCCAGAGCGCAGTCTGTTCAATGCCTTCCAAGTCGCCCAGTCTTCTGTGTGCCCAGGAGGGAGTCTCTCATTTGGTATCAGCCATTGGTTGAGGTTCTGGGTTTGAGCCTGCCACTTTTGGACTCTCACTTGCTGAGGTGTTCCAGCGAGTGTCTCTGTAGATCTTAGAAAACTATGTCTAGATTTAAGTCATTGACGTGCTGGCTGATACCCAAACAGGGGATGAGCTGGAGATGTCTCTGCCTTGGTCCTTTCACTATTGGCTGCTACTTCCCGGCGGATGTCAGGTGGTGCAATACCGGCTAAGCAGTGTAATTTCTCCAGTGGTGTAGGGTGCAGACACCCCGTGATAATGCAGCATGTCTCATTAAGAGCCACATCCACTGTTTTAGTGTGGTGAGATGTGTTCCACACTGGGCATGCATACTCAGCAGCAGAGTAGCATAGCGCAAGGGCAGATGTCTTCACTGTATCTGGTTGTGATCCCCAGGTTGTGCCAGTCAGCTTTCGTATGATATTGTTTCTAGCACCCACTTTTTGCTTGATGTTCAGGCAGTGCTTCTTGTAGGTAAGAGCACAGTCCAGAGTGACTCCCAGGTATTTGGGTGCGCTGCAATGCTCCAGTGGGATTCCTTCCCAGGTGATCTTCAGAGCTCGGGATGCTTCTCTGTTCTTGAGATGAAAGGCACATGTCTGTGTTTTAGATGGGTTGGGGATCAGCTGGTTTTCCCTGTAATAGGCAGTAAGAGCACCTAGAGCTTCGGAGAGCTTCTGTTCTACCATCTCAAAGCTCCCTGCTGAGCAGTAATGGCACGATCATCAGCATAGATGAAACTCTCTGTCCCTTCTGGCAGTGGCTGGTCATTTGTGTAGATGTTGAACATGGATGGAGCAAGCACGCTCCCCTGAGGCAGGCGATTCTTCTGTTTCCGCCATCTGCTTCTCTGGCCCTGGAACTCAACAAAAAAGCTCCTGTTTTGTAGCAGGTTTCCTATGAGGCACATGACTTTGTGTTTTTATTTGAATGGCATCCTCCATGCACTACGCTTAATGACATCACCATGGTCTGTCCCCTAGCACCTTACAAGGAACCACTCCTGGGCCCGAGGTCACATTTCAGGGCCTGGAGTAATTCTAATATGACAAGTCTATTTACAACATAGACCTCTGGGTCTATACATTTTCTGGAAAGAATCAGCTAAAATATTGTATTAAAATGTGTTCATTCAGGCAATTTTTTACTTTCTTACTTATTGATTTATAGCCCACCTTTCTCCCAAAACAGACGCTAAAGAACTGTCATCTTCAGGAGACTATTTTAGTTTTACCAAGTTTTTTTTAAAAAATATTCTTATGTTATGGCACTATGTCACTTTGTTAAATTAGATAGATAGATAGATAGATAGATAGATAGATAGATAGATAGATAGAAAAAAAGTAGTTAATACATATAAAATCTATACAAAGGTTTTATAACTATGATCAAGTTTTTATTACTATTGCAAATTCCCCATTGCCTTACACTGTGTTGTTAGGGTATTTTGCTGCAGTAATTGACATGCTAGCCATGCAATGATAAATCTGAGAAAGAGCTATGTGGGACAGCCAATGAAGCACATTTTGTCCCCGGCACAGTGCCTGGTATTTTTTTGGCAACAATGAAGCCAGTTAATGTCCTTTTCAAAGACCTCCACAACTCCCTACTGCATGAAATTGCCCAGCTGTCAGACCTTCAGTCTTGCCTTCATCCTTCACAGCAGTTCCTCCTCTCCTTCACAAAAATGGGGATATCCGGAAACAGAGCATTCCAGGAGAGGAGGAAGGGGAAGGACATGCCTCAGCTGCACAACTCTTCATTTCCTTAGGATAGGCAACATATTGAATTGGAAACAGTCACAGCAGCTCTGGTACCTCTCTGGAGACTTTTTTCCTTCAAAGTTTTAATCTTCTTTCCTGACAAAATACCAGTTTCTTTCTATCACTAGTGACTGAAAAAAGCCTCCCCTCCAAAATGAGCCCATGAGAAAAAGCATAGTGTGTATGACACTAAGGAGGGCCTGCAACATGAATAAAAGATGGTTCAGGTTTAGGAAAAAAAGAATATTGGACAATGTTTTAAAAAATGGTTTAAAATACCACAATCAAAGCCTGAAAATTGGTGAGAAATATCTTAGACTGACCTGAACCTTTGGAACTCAGGACCTAAAATATACATGGGAGGGATTTTTTGTGCAAACAGGAAAAAAATCTTCTGTGAAAAAAAAACACATGCAAATTTTTCACAAAAGAATGCCCAAACTGCATACTTTTTACAAACTGTTGCTTTGAAGACTTTCTTGGTGGGAAGAAAATTGCTCAAATTATTTACTGCTTTCTTTGACAATGAAGAAACACTCTATATGTCCACCACAGTTCTGCAGTGGTGTGAATAGTAAGGCAGAACATAGACAAATTATTTTATCATTTTTCCTTATATATAATTCTTCTTCCATAATTCAAGATAGTGCAAAACAAAATTAAAAACAAATATTCAGCACAGCATTGGTCAAACTCCCTGAAGCCAGAAGATTAGCTGACTGAGACTGCAACATTATGTACTGGGGGCTGCATCTGCATAGACATGTATAAGATTGTAGTATACAGATTCCGGTGGCTGTGAGATTTAGTACCCTAGAAAATAACTCCTTACCTCTCCATGTGTCTTGAAAATTCAGAGTAAACACTGCCATATGGCAAATAGTAAGCACAATACACCTTCATAATGTATTGTACAAAAGTAGACTAAATTGCGCACATGAGAAAGTTGCATGGTTTAGTATTTCTTGGTGTAGATTGTCTTGGGCTCAGCAATAACAAGAAAAATACTGCCATCAACAACAGCAATTGCAGGGGACACCCTCAGCCACAGCCGCGATGGTGCACCAAACAGCTCGTTCATCTACAACCAGAACTGGTCATCCATGTGATAAACACTGCTGATACAATTTTCGGGGGACTAAATATCATTCTGTTTTTCTGGTCTAGCTCCAACACTCTATCCACAATGACATTAAACTCAGTTTGCATACAGCTGTGTAATTCTTTACGCTTGTTATTCTGTTGAAGGAGCAAACAGACATATAGAACATCAAACTTTGATCTTTCTCTCCACTGTAAATTCTACCTTTTACGTCCCAGCGTACTGCCCCCAAATTTCAATCTTGGAGTCACAAGAGCTACAAGCCCACATTGTAAGAGGCAAAAGTTATATTCTTAAAATGTTGGATTAGGTACCCAGAATTCAATTTATCTATTTAAGAAGCATAGACAAGAGCAACAGTTGGTTATGGAGCTTTTTATTCAACTAAATGACTACAGACACACACACACACCAATCACACTATAATTTATCTAGTTGAATAGTGGCCACTATCCATATCATGGTCACACATGCAAGAAAACTCTAGGTGCTCTAACTGCCTATTATAGGGAAAACCAACTGATCCCTAATCCATCTAAAACACAGACATGTGCCTTTCACCTTAAGAACAGACAAGCATCCCGAGCTCTGAGGATTACCTGGGAAGGAATCCCACTGGAGCATTGCAGCGCACCCAGATACCTGGGAGTCACTCTGGACCGTGCTCTGACCTACAAGAAGCACTGCCTGAATATCAAACAAAAAGTGGGTGCTAGAAACAATATCATACGAAAGCTGACTGGCACAACCTGGGGATCACAACCAGACCCAGTGAAGACATCTGCCCTTGCGCTATGCTACTCTGCTGCTGAGTATGCACGTCCAGTGTGGAACACATCTCACCACACTAAAATAGTGGATGTGGCTCTTAATGAGACATGCCGCATTATCACAGGGTGTCTGCCGCCTACACCACTGGAGAAATTACACTGTTTAGCCGGTATTGCACCACCTGACATCTGCCGGGAAGTAGCAGCCAATAGTGAAAGGACCAAGGCAGTGACATCTCCAGCTCATCCTTGTTTGGGTATCAGCCAGCACGTCAACGACTTAAATCAAGAAATAGTTTTCTTAGATCTACAGAGACACTCGCTGGAACACCTCAGCAGCGAGAGTCCAAAAGTGGCAGGCTCAAACCCAGCACCTCAATCTGTGATACCAGATGAGAGACTCCCCCCTGGGCACACAGAAGACTGGGCGACTTGGAAGGCGCTGAACAGACTGCGCTCTGGCACCACAAGATGCAGAGCCAACCTTCAGAAATGGGGCTACAAAGTGGAATCCACAACATGCGAGTGCGGAGAAGAGCAAACCACTGACCACCTGCTGCAATGCAACCTGAGCCCTGCCATATGCACGATGGAGGACCTTCTTGCGGCAACACCAGAGGCACTCCAAGTGGCCAGATACTGGTCAAAGGACATTTAATCAGCTACCAAGTTTGCAAAATTTGTTTTTTTATCTGTTTGTTTATTTTGTTCTGTTAGAAATGTAATGTTCTGGTTGCGGATGACACGATAAATAAATAAATATGCAAGAAAACTTGCATAGAGAAAAAATTCATGGGTTCCTATGATACTAGAAATAGAATGGTTTGGTTACCCTTGCAGAGAATGAGGCCTTGCTTGCTAAATAGCTTGCAGCAGATATCTTTCTGGTCTTTTCTTCCCCTATCATTAACATGAAACAAAGAAAGGAAGAGGCTACACTAGGCATGGGTAAACTTTGTCCCTCCAGGTGTTTTGGACTACTGGCTGTTAGGAATTGTGGGAACTGAATTCAAACACCCAGAGGGCCAAAGTTTACCCATGCCTGGGCTACATCGTCAAAACAAAGTTGCAAAACTTACCCATGAATAGCGTGGATGGTGTGAGGTTCATAATGGTATCGTCCTTCCTGGTGACGCATATCAATTGGCAATGGCGAATGGAAGGCTGGAAAAACATGCTGAGGAACTGTGGAAGGGAAAATAAGAGAAAAAGAATTTTAAAAACACCTTCATTTTTTTAAAAAAAAACACACACACAGAGTTTCAAAGGCAGTAAAACTCCATGCATTTCAGAGCAAGTGCAGAGCCAGACAAGGGGGTCTTCATGATCGCAGTGCTAGAGTACACCAGAGAAGTGGAATGAATAAATAATCAAAGTCATTTGGAGAAATCCTACATCTTTGACATAAAAGATCTCCAACAGGGTTTTTGACAAAGACAAGCAACCAAGGGCTCTTTGAACTGGGGGAGATTATAGGAAGCACCAAGGAATGTTAGGCTCTCAACGCAAATCAGAGTCGACAGAGCTTGGCGGAACCCACACCGGCATCATTTCCCCTGCCAGGAATAGCAGAAGAAGCACCTTTCCCTAAAAGGTGCATGCACACATACACAAACAAACACACACACAGCACAGTGCTTGAAAATATTTATCTAAGGGTGGAAAAGCAAGTAGAGAACAAATGTGAACTGTGTGTGTAGCAAGAGCTGGCTGGAAAGGATCTGTTCCTGCGGTTCAGAGGAGGGAGACTAAATCTGCCCTCACTTGTCATCATTTGTGCCCTGTTTTTATTCATGTGCTTCATCTTTCATAAAGTGGTCTCTGAAGATACTGAACACCTACTATGATTTATGAAAATGAGGGGTGTTAATATGCATTACTGATCCCCAAAGTTAATCAGGAGAAGATTTGAGAGTTGTCAAGCAAGTGAAAAAAATTGCTAACTTAGACTTTCCCACTGCACAAAATGGATGATGGAAACACTTATTTGTAAACCTACAATTACTTTAACAACTGGTACCTGAGAATAGGACACTGAACCAGTGATTTAGGGTGGGGTAAGGAATCCATGGTTCTCCATGTGTTACAGAACTCCAGCTCCCATTATGCCTGACCACTGATTGGCCATTCTGACAAAGACTAATGGCATGGAAGTCCTATAATATCTAAAGGGCCTGAGTTTCTCCATCCCTGATGTAGGAAATTCAAGCCAAAATAGAGATCGGGATGACTGAAATATGTGAACACACACATTTTTGCTCTCATAAATCTTTGTCCTATAGAATTGAAAAGGCAGCAGAAATATATAAACAGAGTAGTAAGTTTTTGATTGCATTAACACCATACTGCTTGTAACACTTCGTATACAATTGTTAGTCCACCACTAGATTGATAGAATGTATATAAACCTATGCTTACTATATTCCCATTAATTTAATGGGCGGAGATTAGTTGGAATTAATAATTGAATTTAGGCTTCTAATACAGAGGTGACATATTCCAGCCCTCTAAATATATTTGGGCTATAACTTCCATCATTGCATGGTAATGAGGAAGAATTATGAACGGTGGCCCTCAAACATCTGGAGGGAGACAAGTGACTTTCCCTACTCTAACAATAAAATCTTATCTAAGTTTACTCAAAAGTAAGTTGCACTGTGGTAAATAGGGCCTACTCATACGGTAAATGTGTACAGAGTTGCAGTCTAATAGCTCTATGACCTTATCACCTGTGCCATTTTGCCAGCAAGCGTGGTGAAACAGTAGTCATGAGTCGGGCAGAAGTATTCTGGCTTCATTAGAGCCAACACAACATAGTAAGGCCCCTGTGATTGGAGGAAAGGGAGCAAGGACACTTCCATCTCAGTTGGGGGCAGGGCCTCTGCCAGAAGTCACATGATGTTATGTGATGGCAGGTGTGGTGCTCCATCCCTGAAGCAGGCTGGAAGCATCCTAGGACGCTTAATTTGGTCAGTGTGATGAGGTCCCTAGAGTGGTTGATAGATATTATAAAGGCTTATTCAATGGCAGTGACTCACATGACCTCTCTGACACAACCCGTTTATTAGGTTTCTTTTAACACTCTCCTTTCTGATTGATACTGATGTGAATAAAGATGGTTTTTTGACAACCTGTCCAGACCAAGTGAGCCCTGGAATAATAACAGCATGGGCTATCATAATATCAGCACATCTTCAATTCCACTATTCATATTGGTTTATGACAAACCCCAGATTTGATTAATTCCATTTATGAACTGTATTTGGCAATGCCTTGTAATAAAAACTAGAATTTCCCTGGGTATTTGAAAAACAGTTCTGGCAAGCAAATATCTCCAACATGAAAGCAAAAGGTCCATGGCCCATTTTTAGTAAGAAAGCAAAGTTACAAGGGCAACTTTAAGACTGTTTTACTATGAAGGGTTAAGGAGAAATAACTATAGCCTTGATTTTCTGAACAGCCAAGTTACATCACATGAACATCTGGTTCTGCATGGGAAATAAAATATGTTGTGGCTTTACTTGTTCTTGATGATTTGTTGAACAAGGGCACAATAGAACTAGTTTAAAATAATGAATTACTTTTCATGCTTTTCCCCCATTCATGAAGGTGCCAGATCCCATCTGTACATGAAAGATAGCAGATCCCATCTGATTTTTTAAGTTGGACAGGGGACAGTCTGCTTAGTACCTAGACAGCAACAGGAAACCACTTTTGAGTATTGCTTGTCTAAGAAAACTGTATGAATTTCCTGGAATTGTCATAAATCAACAGGTGATTGGAAGGTACACACACAATTACATTATATTATCACTGTAATTCAGCAAGGGATAACTGCATTCTCTTTTTCTGAGTGGACTGCCAAAAAGGGGAGAAAAAACACCAGAACAAAACCAGAAATGCCTGGAAGTCCACTTTTGATATTTGCAGAATTTTGTTTTTTTATGTTAAAACATAGTGCAGGAAGAACGGGTTCAACCTGTTTAAAAGGTGAATTACCATTCCTGGAGGCTTCCAAATCAAGCAAGGTACTGGAATTTTGGAAGTGTTGAGATCACAAAAATAGTCTTGAGGGCACACTTGACCCAATATTGACTGAATACCTAATGCTCCCACTGTTTTTTTAAAATAGCAATGTACTCCTATACTGCAAACGGTATAGACCAGTGTTTCTCAACCTGGGGGTTGGGACCCCTGGGGGGTCATGAGGGGGTGTCAGAGGGGTCACCAAAGACCATCAGAAACAGTATTTTTTGTTAGTCATGGGGGTTCTGTGTGGGAAGTTTGGCCCAATTTTATCATTGGTGGGGCCAGAATGCACTTTGATTGGAGGTGAACTATAAATCCCAGGAACTACAACTCCCAAATGTCAAGTCTCTTTTCCCCAAACTCCACTAGTGTTCACATTATTGAGCATTCATGCCAATTTTGATCCAGATCCATCATTGTTTGAGTGGTTGAATGGCAAAGCAGCTGGCCTGGATGATCTACGGATGGAACAAATCAAGAACTTTGGTCCCAAAGCAAGGCGCTGGCTGCTGGAGCTGATGAACAACTGCACATCATCCTGTCAGATTCCCAAAATCTGGAGGAAAGCAAGAGTCATTGCCATCTTGAAGCCAGGCAAAGACCGTAATGACCCAAAAAGCTACAGACCAATCTCCCTGTTGTGTCACCTCTACAAAGTTCTGGAGAGACTTATTCTGCATAGAATTATGGAAAAAATAGACCCATGTCTGATTCCACAGCAAGCTGGCTTCAGGAAAGGCAAAAGCTGCACATCGCAAGTGCTGAACCTGACTCAGCACATAGAAGATGGCTTTGAAAGGCAGCAGATCACAGGAGCTGTCTTCATAGACCTGTCAGCAGCCTATGATACTGTGAACCACCGCCTGCTCCTGAGAAAAATGTATAATATCACAAAGGACGACCACCTCACCCGCCTCATAGGAAACCTGCTACAAAACAGGAGCTTTTTTGTTGAGTTCCAGGGCCAGAGAAGCAGATGGCGGAAACAGAAGAACGGCCTGCCTCAGGGGAGCGTGCTTGCTCCATCCATGTTCAACATCTACACAAATGACCAGCCACTGCCAGAAGGGACAGAGAGTTTAATCTATGCTGATGATCGTGCCATTACTGCTCAAGCAGGGAGCTTTGAGATGGTTGAACAGAAGCTCTCCGAAGCTCTAGGTGCTCTTACTGCCTATTACAGGGAAAACCAGCTGATCCCCAACCCATCTAAAACACAGACATGTGCCTTTCATCTCAAGAACAGAGAAGCATCCCGAGCTCTGAAGATCACCTGGGAAGGAATCCCACTGGAGCATTGCAGCGCACCCAAATACCTGGGAGTCATTCTGGACCGTGCTCTTACCTACAAGAAGCACTGCCTGAACATCAAGCAAAAAGTGGGTGCTAGAAACAATATCATACGAAAGCTGACTGGCACAACCTGGGGATCACAACCAGATACAGTGAAGACATCTGCCCTTGCGCTGTGCTACTCTGCTGCTGAGTATGCATGCCCAGTGTGGAACACATCTCACCACACTAAAACAGTGGATGTGGCTCTTAATGAGACATGCCGCATTATCACGGGGTGTCTGCGCCCAACACCACTGGAGAAATTACACTGCTTAGCCGGTATTGCACCACCTGACATCCGCCGGGAAGTAGCAGCCAATAGTGAAAGGACCAAGGCAGAGACATCTCCAGCTCATCCCCTGTTTGGGTATCAGCCAGCACGCCAACGACTTAAATCTAGACATAGTTTTCTAAGATCTACAGAGACACTCGCTGGAACACCTCAGCAAGCGAGAGTCCAAAAGTGGCAGGCTCAAACCCAGAACCTCAACCAATGGCTGATACCAAATGAGAGACTCCCCCCTGGGCACACAGAGGACTGGGCGACTTGGAAGGCACTGAACAGACTGCGCTCTGGCACCACGAGATGCAGAGCCAACCTCAGAAATGGGGCCACAAAGTGGAATCCACGACATGCGAGTGTGGAGAAGAGCAAACCACTGACCACCTGCTGCAATGCAACCTGAGCCCTGCCACATGCACAATGGAGGACCTTCTTGCAGCAACACCAGAAGCACTCCAAGTGGCCAGATACTGGTCAAAGGACATTTAACCAACTACCAAACTCACAAGTTGTGTATTTTTCTGTCTGTTTGCTTGTT